GTTCACAGCCCCGGGATTGGAGGCAGTGAGCTGCAGGCTCACAAATCCCTTAAGAGCTTGCTGTGGAGCAGCCGGGCGGCCCCCACTGACCAGCCTGGGTTGCCTCAGGAAAGCGGTTTCCCTTTTGTAGGGAAGGCTTGGTGTGCCCCGACCAGCAGAATAAGGCTGGATGTCACAGCCCCTCACCTGAAAGACCTTGAGCTAAAAGTTTCCAGAGCTGCTGCACTGTGCTTTCACCATTTGCCGGCTCTGTTTGGCTCCCAGCACTGTGGAGCACTTACCTGGCAGCCCCATGGCTGGGGGGGTAAGACCAACTCTGCCCCTGCCTCGCCCATGTCCCTCACTTCCCCATAAAATCCTCTGTTTGCTTTCCAGACGGAGAGCGGCCACGAGACTTGTTGGGACCTGCGCTGACTCCTGCCGCACAAGATGACAGCAAGAGACGGGCCCCAAGATAGGTAAGTCTGGGCACTGGTGTAGGTGTGGGGGCACGTCCAGGACACCAGGAGGTGAGGGAGGACAGGGGGACCACTCTCCTGCATGATCACGGGGCTACTGAGCTGTCCCTTTTCCAAGATTTTTTCTGTAGCAAACTGTAAACAGTCTCCAGCGCTGAGACTCGCCTGGGGAACATGTCTCCCTCCCAACTCTTGGTGATGGCTGCTGTGCATCTGGGTGCCATGTGTCGAGGAGCAGCCAGCTGCCCCCTGGCCTCATACCCTCCCGGGAAGGGCTCTCTGCAGGGCTGCTTCTCCTCCAGCAGCCCAGGCTCGCAGGAGCTGTGGGGCAGGGACAGGGCAATAAATTTCATCCCCTCTCCTAACTCCTGGTGCCTCCCAGTGTGGGGTTGGGGACAGCCAGAAGCAATGCCTGTCCCCTGTCCTGCCCAGCATCCTGCTCCAAACCACTCTGTTCCCTCCACAGGTACAAGGCTGTCTGGCTGATCTTCTTCATCCTCGGCCTGGGAACGCTGCTGCCATGGAATTTCTTCATGACTGCCAGGGAGGTGAGGGCTTTGCTCCCATTGCTGACGATGACACCAATGGTCCCCTGTTTCCTCTAGGGACCATGGTGTAGGTGTGGCAGCACAGCACAGTGTAAAGTCTCTTTGTTTTCAGGAGACAGAAGTGTGGGTGACCTGGGTGGGATGAGTGGCACTGAGGCAGCAGAAGGGCTCGGCATGGGGCCAGAGAGGGGACAAAGGTGGCCTGAGCATGCTGGAGCGAGGCCTTACAGTACCTTGGCTCCATCTGGCTCCTTCCCTCACAGTATTTCATCAGCCGCCTCGCAGACCCGGAGGAGGTGATCCGGGCTGGGAACCAGACTGGTGAGGCTACCTCATCCCTCTCCTACCTGCAATCCATGTTTGACAACTTCATGACTCTCTGTGCCATGGTGCCCCTCCTCATCTTCACCTGCCTCAACTCCTTCATCCACCAGCGGTGAGCCTTGCCCCATCCTTGCCCTTGCCAGCCTGAGCCCATCCTCCTGCCCCAGCACTAAGCCAAGCTGCAAAGACAGAACACCGGGCTCCTGTGCTGGGGTTTGGCTGGGATTTCCATGCGAGAGCTTGGCCCCAGCTTCACAGGCATTTGTGGGGTGGGTTTTCTTCACTGAGAGCCTCTCTTGCAGGATTCCTCAGCAGATCCGCATCTCAGGCAGCCTTGTGGCCATTGGTCTGGTGTTTTTAGTCACTGCAATCATGGTGAAGGTCGACATGGAGCCGCTTCCCTTCTTTGTCTTTACCATGATCAGCATCATCTTCATCAACTGTGAGTGAGGCAGTGGGAGGAAGGAAGGGGACACAACCCCATGGCTAGGGCTGATGTGTATGGGAGAAAAGCATGAACCTCACTGTGGGAAAGCTAAGGATGAGAGGAACCTGCCTTAGCTCCCCACAGAGGTGCCTTTGGTTTCTCATTTCTACTTACCTTTCCCCTTCACAGCGTTTGGTGCCATGCTCCAGAGCAGCCTCTTTGGGCTAGCAGGGCTCCTGCCTACCAGTTACACAGCTCCCATCATGAGTGGGCAGGGCTTGGCAGGCACCTTTGCTGCTTTGGCGATGATCTTCAGTATTGCCAGTGAGTAACCCCTGCCCTGCAGATGACAAGGCCTTCACAGAGCACTGCTGTCAGCAGCATCTGCTGGGGTCGTGCTGGGTTGGGTGGGAGATGGCAGCAGGGTCTCACTCCTCTCAGCCCTCATCATCTTCTTCATTTGTCCCTCCGTCTCCTCTCTTTCATGCTCCCAGTTGGCGCCAAGCAACCCGAGAGCTTCATCGGTTACTTCACCACAGCCTGTGTGGCTATCGTGCTGGCAATCTTCTCCTACATCCTTCTGCCTCGCTTGGTGAGACTTTGTTGTCCTCGTGGGGAAGGGTATGGGGATGTGGGACCTTTGCACATCACAGCATAAGGACAGTGGCCCACTAGCATCCCAGCTTTGGCTCCTACCAGCCTCCATCTCTTGGGTCAGGACAAGCTCTCCCCTGTCCTCAGGAAGCTCTCTGGAATACTTCCCACCTCAGACACCCCAGTATCCTCAGGGTACTGTGGAAATGGGCCTCTGAGTGTGCAGGAAAGCCTCAGTATTGGGCTTAAGTGGAAGAAACACTTTGCCCATATTGCATTTGCCCATATCTGCTGTTACCACACAGTCCCTGGCAGCCTTTTTTCCTTAGGCATGAATGAGTGCTCCTTGGCTGTCTCTCTGCAGGATTTCTTCCGATACTACTCCATGAAGGACAAGACTGAGTACCGTGTGTACAATGCTGAGCTGGAGACCAAGAGAGACCTGATCAAGAAAGGTGAGGGGCTGAGAGGAGGAAGAGGAAGGAAAAGCAGAAAGAGGAATGGCTGGGAGGATCAGTGTGACAGAGGGACTAAATTAGATCTCTGCTTTCTGGGGTCTGCTATGCCCTACTTGTGTTTCCTCCTGCAGATGAATTCAATGGGATGGAGCAGAATAACTCAAAGATCATCCCTATCCACAACCCTGATGAGAAGCCCTCAGTGGTTGCTATTTTTAAGAAGGTCAGTGAGTTGCCAGCAATGCCTGTCCTGCCCCTCAGATCAGGGGATGGGCAGAGCTGTAGGAGAGCATGGGGGAAGGAGACCAGCCCTGCACTGGTCTCTTGCCCTGTATTTGGTACGAGCCTCTTTTTTTCTTCTGCCTAGCTCTGGGTCATGGCTGTGTCTGTCTGCTTCGTCTTCACTGTCACCATTGGTGTCTTTCCTTCCATCACAGCTAAGGTGTCCACTGTCCTTGGAGATGGAAACAGATGGGGTAAGTGTGACCAGGGATGGGGTGGGGTAGGAGCAAGATAAATGGGAGAAAAGAAAGTGAGGCTTGAAGTAGTAGGTATGTGTGGTGGTTTGACTCTGATGGGAGCCCAGGTGCCCACCAAAACCGCTCTGTCATACCCCTCCTCAGCTGGACAGAGGAGAGAAAATATAACAATAGGCTCATGGGTTGAGATAAGGATGGGGAGATCACTCAGCATTTACCGTATTAGGCAAAAGAGACTCAGCTTGGGAAATATGAAATTAATTTATTACCAATCAAATCAGAGTAGGATAATGAAAAATAAAAACTAAATCTTAAAACACCTTTCCCCCACACACATACCTCTCCCTTCTTTGTGGGCTTAACTTTACTCCTAGTTCTGTACCTCCTCCCCCACAGCAGTGCAGGGGGATGGGGAATGGGGTTCTGGTCAGTTCATCACAGGTTGTCTCTGCCGCAACTTCCTCCTCAGGGGGAGGACTCCTCACACTCTTCCCCTGCTCCAGCATGGGGTCGCTCCCATGGGAGACGGTTCTCCATGGACTTCTCCAACATGAGTCCTTCCCACAGGCTACAGTGCTTCACAAGCTGTTCTGTCATGGGTCTCTCTGATAGAGCGTAGTCCTGCAGGAGCAAGCTGCTCAAGCGTCGGTCCCATACAGGGTCACAAGTCCTGCCGCCAAACCTGCTCCAGCATGGGCTCCTCTCTCCATGAGTCCACAGGTCCTGCCAGGAGCCTGCTCCAGCACACGCTTCCCATGGGCTCACAGCGTCCTCTGGGTGCATCCACCTGCTCCAGCATGGAGTCCTCCAGAGGCTGCAGGTGGACGTCTGCACCGCTGTAGACCTCCCCAGGCTGCAGGACAGTGCTGCTCTGGTGCTTGAAGCATCTCCTCTCCCTCCTTCTTCACTGACCTTGGTGTCTGCAGAGTTGTTGCTCTCACATATTCTCATTCCTCTCTCTGGTTGCCAGTGTGTAATTTTGTTCCCCCCTCTTCTTAAATATGTCATCACAGATGTGCTACCACCATTGCTGATGGGCCTGGCCTCAGCCAGCAGCAGGTCCATCTTTGGAGCCAGCCGGCATTGGCTCTGTTGGACATAGGGGAAGCTTCTAGCAGCATCTCCCAGAAGCCACCCCTATAGCCCCCCACTGCTACCAAAACCTGGCCATGCAAACTCAATACAGTATGTCTGATGGGAAAAGGAAAGCACTGTGCTGGATGATTTGGATGCAAACACCAGCCTGGCTTGGGAGACCATTCCAGCCCTTAGTGGGAAACTGGGAGGACCTACACCTGAAAGACAGTCTCCATGCAATTGGTAGGAGGACCTGGGGTACCCTTGACTCATCAGTGACCTTATCCCCTTTCTGTAGGTCTCTACTTCATCCCTGTCTCCTGCTTTCTGCTCTTTAATGTCTTTGACTGGACGGGACGGAGTCTCACTGCTCTCTTCACGTGGGTAAGCATGGGGCAGGGAGTAAATGCGCAGGCAGTCTCCATCCTCAGGTTCCTCAGCCACAGCTCTCACTCGGGCTGCCATCCATGTCTTGCAGCAGGAAGGAGGTGCAGAGCCAACTCCTGCCTTGGCTTTAAGTCCTAAGCAGAGATTTACGGGTCAGAGCAGAGAACCGCAATGTTGTCCTGTCCTCCTCCCACCCATCTTTCAGCATGGCTTGGATGAAGCTGCCTCCTCCATTTCAGCCTCTTTGTAAA